CCCACCCCCACCTTCCGTCCCTTCGCCCCTCAGGCTAAGGACATGCGTTGGCGCTTAACCCACATAACAGAATTTTTAGTACAGTGCGCCCCCACTTTGTGTGTACATTGTCATTTGCTGTACCTTTTTTTTTTTTTTTTTTTTTATATTAAAGCCACCCTCTGTTTATTTTTTGTGTTTTTTCTGTTTGACTTTGCTTTCCTTTCCGTTTCCTTTATCCTGCGTTATGACAATATTTCAGTATTTTTATTTTGTTGCGTGCTGCGTTTTTTCCTCCTCTTTTTTTTTTGTCATGATTTTTTTTTATTGTCTCCTCGCCAATTGCCGGTTTTCGACAGCGGTACAAATATATTTGGATTGTTCCATTGTTGCCACAAATATTGTGGCCCAAATAACAAATTCCTTCGTTCCTTTGTGGCTGTTGGCATTTGCTCTCGTTTAAAAGGCTAATAGATTTTCAGGAAATTTGCCAAATTTTTGATTTTATATCAAGTTCATTATGAAAAGCCAAAAAGATGGGAAATGAGTATGGATAGATAGATAGGTAGATATACAGACGTATAGATATATAAATATGTAGATGTATCGATATATAGATGTATCGATACATATATGTATAGAAGTATAGATGTATAGGTGAATAGCTGTAAAGATGTATAGATGTATAGTTGTATAGATGTATAGATGCATAGATGTAAAGATGTATAGATGCATAAAAGTAAAGATGTATAAATGTATAGATATATAGATATACAATATAATATATTTCATTTCACAGAGTTTGATAAAGTCTATTAAAGATAATAAATGTTTTCTTAATTTAAGAATATAGACGTTTATTTTTTTGGACAGAAGTTTAAGTATTATAGGTAGACTCGAGTGATTAGAGCCTATAGACCAGAGAGTTAATTAGAGAGTATTCAAGGAACTAAAAACAAGTTCTTAAATGAAAGGAAGGGATGTCAAATAATAAATATATATCACGTTCCATACTTTCCGGCTGTAATCTAAAAATAAATTCAGGCTCTACAAAGTATGCAATAAAAAATTAAGCTAAATGGATACGAGTTCACGAAAATGGAATAAAATCCAAGCATGAAAGGCCTCACATATGGTATGTCCATTAGTCCCAAAATTTATAACGCATTGAAGTATAAATCTTTGAAGTATAAATCTTTTGTAACTATATATGCATATCCAGATCCGTTTCATCATATGTTTATGATATATGTTGTGAGAGGATGATTAAGTTTATATGGCATATGTATATATTAAATTAAGTATATGTATGTCAACTACTCTTTCTGTATTCTCAACGTTTCTTTTTTACTCTTCTTAACAGTAATGCTTAACATAATCTTTAACATACATGTGACCGTGCATACTTCTGTGAATGCAAACCTTTGATAATGTCTTATCCCATTCTATCGTCCTCCACATTGAAGCTCATATACTTCAAGCGCCCTACTACGAATTTGTAGATATCTCTTCTTTCGCTTTCCAATTAAAAATTATCCTAGACAGCTGTTAAAAAATACTCCCAGATTAATCAGTTATTTATGGCAGACATTGCAGTCCCCGCTGGATATATTTGCTTATATATATGTTTTTATCTTTCTCATTAATAAAACTTGACGTCATGCTGCGAGAAATCCTTCATAATGGCAATTCCCGCGAGTTCATATCGATGCCATTTAACGAAACCAGCCCAGTTGCAGCTGCTGCGTGTCATATTGCAATAATTATGGGCCACATATGTGGCACTGGCAAAATGAGCAATACGTACCGACTCCTGTGGGCTTAACCCAGCGCCACGCCCCTCACCGCACGCCCCATGCCGGGCGCAACTTTGCAGTTGATAACAATCATTGAGCTGTGTTGGTTTTGGTTCTCTTGGTTCAGTTGGGGTTTTTGTGTTTTATGTTGTTGCCTCTCGCCTGAAAGTTTTAACATTTTCTCTATGTGGCACGCGAAAAAGTTCAAGGACATTCCGAAGGCTTTGCACTTGTGGGCGGCCAAAATGTGCCCCCAATGTGCTTGTTTAACTTGTCTGCGCTGAAAATTGCATTTTCGATTAAGCCAGCTATGTAAACTGCATTTGGGCACATTTAATATTGCGGCGCCCGTATATATACGTTATACGTTTGTAGCATATTGTCGAAAGTTTTCCTGTCGGACCCGAAAAGATAAGAACAAAAGTTTTTGCGCCCATTGAGATTCGTTGTAAACGTCTTGTTAAACTGAAATATTTAGAGCTTGAGTTCATAAGCAAGCAGAAACTTGAGTTATTTTCTTGCTTAAACAGCTTGGGAATTTTGCAAGAGCAGCAGGAAAAGGCGAACAACAAGCATGTGTGGATTAAAGGTTTGGAATTTGAAGTGAAAATTGTAGAAAATAAGTTAAGTTCGATTTAAAAATGTGTGAATAATACTGAAAGCAATGAAAGTTCTTGAATTATTTCCCTAAATATCTTTCGAGTTCGAATCTAGTTTTAATTTTGTCTTAGCCAAAAGACAACTAGTGTAATTTTAAAAATTAATTTAATGGATTATAACTATATCATGATCATAATGAATAATAATAAATATGAAATATCTAAAACTCATGCTAAACTTTAATATAATTAAAAAAAAAAAATTAAAAGGAACTCTAGTTATGTATTTTGATTGCGCTACAAAGTAGAATTCCCAATGAAAATTGATGCCACAAATGTCCTTTGCATAATCATTATCAGCCCCCAACTTCCGCCCATTTAATCATCCCTTTTTAGCACAAACCCCACGTGCTTAATTACCCAACTCCCTGCAATTTAATAATTACATGATATAAATATACATCATGCACGTGTAGATATAAAATACCATATAGAAGCTCGGGACATGTCGCATTTCATAAGGAAGTCAGCGTAACCAAAACCTGTCCCCATTTAATTATATTAGACTGCAATTAGCTGTGCGTTTAGCTTGTACGTAAACAACCCCAAAGAAAGGCGGGTTGAAGCAAAGTTAAGAGTATGCGCCTATATAGATATCCTGTTGTAAGCGTTTATGAGAAGGCGCTGAAATAATTATAATAATAATATTAAAAAAAAATATAATATAAATAAACATTATGAATATAATATTGATATTTGAAATGATATTTTCTTAGGGTAGATGGAGAAAGTTATTGCAAAAACTCTAAAAAACTAAAACCAGTATAGATAAATAGAAAAATTGCCTAGACTTAAGTGGAACGAGATTAAGCATAATATATCGAAAAATTTTCGAATAAAGCATATAAAAATAGGATATACCATATGGGGGAAATTATTTAAAATTAAGGAAAAAAAAAGTTCAATTATAAGAGCTATAATAAAATGCTTAAGAATGAGTCAGAATAAAGACATAAAATAGAAAGCGTAGGCCTCTAAAAATGTAATTCTTAAAAAAGTGACTGTCCCATCCTTAATAGGGCCTTGTGTATAGTAATCTTTATTGGTTGATTTGACACTGAATTAAAGATAATTATTATCTAAGCACCTATATATATTTATATATCTAAACGTACTTTGTTCGAAATGCAGCCCATTATCAGATTGTGATGTGTCCAAAATGACAATTAAACTTAATTTACAGGGTATACAAACCCCCCGAAAATTGCATATGCTGATGACATCAGCGCCAGGCAACCCCTGCCGCTGATGTTCGCTATCAAACCCTCTCCCCCCACCACACCCGCGACCGACCACCCTTGCACCTCAGTCACCCTGTTTTACAGTGCGTTGAACTGATGCCAAGTGGAAACGCCCCAGTGAACTACATTGCAGGGTGGCGCCTGCCAAAAAACACAAAGTCTAAGCACGTGCGAAGCGGCGGGGTGGGCGAGTCGCGGGACAACAGACCAGTTGGCGCCACGTCGAAAAATAACTACGCACTTTACCAGTCGCGGGCGCCAGTTGCTGGGAGGGGGGGGGGGGGGGGGGTTGCAGGTCTTAGGTCAGAAGACAGCTGTCGCAATCTGTTGAGGCATTTGCCAGATTTGTACACCCTGTACACATTCAAGCGGATATATATAAGGGTATATTGCAATTGCGCAGATGTTTGCATATAATCCGCTACACAGATCCCATAAAAGCTAAACTTGTAAAATATGTTAAATCATTTTGTGTGTACCATACGCAAATCGAGTCTACTTTAAAATATCGATAGCCTCCTAGATCGATAAATATTAATAATTATAAAAGCATATCGATAACTCGACATTCAAAAGATCCATAAATAAAATCGATAAATATTGAATATCATAAAAGCTGTTCAGCTTCTGGCATATGGTGTACGATATACAGATCAAGTTTATTTACACCTATCGATAAATATCAATCTGCTCAAAACCAATTAATTTCGATTATTAAAAAACTCGTTTACCATATTCAGCTAGGTTTATAGTTTAACTAACGATAACTACTAATTTGCGTAATATTGATAAATATCGATTATATTAAATGATGTGCCCCATATGCATATCAAGCTTATTTTAAACCATCGATGGATATCAATTTGCCCAAAATCTATAGTTATCGTTTAGTACAAAACATACACATATATATATTTATAAATAAACTATCGATATCTTCCGATTTTCTCAATATCTATTAATAACGAGTATTATAAAAGCTACAGACACTACATTTGTTATGAAACATGATCAACTTTTCGATTTAACTTTTCGGAAACCTTCCGACATCCCCAAAAAACAGGGAGAACGAGACAAAAAGATGCACAGCCACTGGCTGATTGCCATACGTTTGTATGCAAGTATAAAAGCTCGGACTTAGGGTATCTGTCAGTTGTATTCATTCGACATGATTACTAAGATAATAATATGATAATAATTGTTTTTTGGAGTAGTGTGGGAAGCGGGATTAGTTTAGGGTGTGTCTGTCTTCTCTGTTGACTCAATTAAGTCAAGCCAAAACAATTAAATTCATGAAATATTTTGGTTGTTCATATTCCTTGCAGGATCCAGCTACGACACGCATACCACGCCTGGACGGCATCTCGCGCATTCCGCCGCCGGGCAGCTTTGGTGGCACCACCAGCGCCAGCGCCACCTCGCACATACGCCCACCCACAGTGAAGTCGACCACACAAATCTTTCGTGCGCCCGCCGCGCCGGCCAATGTCAAGGCGCGGCCCATTAGCTCCTATCATCCGGCGGCGGCGCCGCTGCACGATCTCGGCGCCAGCATCAAGAAGAGCGCCTCCGGCGAGCGGCTGAACAATGCGGTCAGCTTGATCAGCAAACGCACTACCAATGTGCTCAAGAAGTACTTTGGACAGGGCAAAATGATGGGCGCCAGCGTGGGCGGAATACAGGGAGCAGCTGCCTCGAGCCTGATGACCAGCTCGCTGCCACACACCCCGCTGCCCGCTGCCAAGCAGCCGCAGCAGCAGCAGCAGCAGCAGAGGCAACAGCAATGCCTGCTGACCAGCAGCACGCCAATGCCGCTGATGCGCTCCGAGACGTTTGTGTGCGACGAGGAGGAGCAACAGTTAAGGGAGCGGGAGCCGGAGGGGGAGCAGTCACAGATGCAGTTAACGCTCTCGGCCACGCCAAATCGCACGCGGCTGGAGAACACGCGTCTCTCCAGCGTGGGCTTTGGACGCACCCTGGATTTGGATGCAACATTGATCGAATCGAGCTCTCCACTGAGCCGTACTCGAACTGTCATTGTGGACAAAAAGGAGCAGCCGGAGCTGGATCCGAATGCCACAAAGCTGGTGAGTCCTTTGAGCGTCACCCGGCTGGCAACTAGCTCTGCCCAGGCGGATCGCACACGCCCTGTAATCCCCGCGAGCGACGAGCCAGCAGATGCCACACACCTTCTGGGCAATCTCAGCGGCGAGCGAGCAGATCGCACGCGTCCCGTAATCCCCGCCAAGGGTGACTCAACCGAGCAACTGGATACCACACAGCTCTTGGCCAATTTGAGCTGCTTCCGTGCGGATCGCACGCGTCCCGTGGTCAGTGGTCCAGAGGCGGCCGATCGCACACGCACCATAAACGCCGCCGGCAGCGAACCGAGCCATGAGCTAAACCTGGACTTGACTAGGAGCATGGAAAAGCTGCCGCTGCTGGAGCACATGTCCATGCCCTCGGGCCTGGATCTGCTGATGAACGGCATCAAATCGGATTTGCCGCTGGAAACGGAACTGGATAATACCGAGTTGGATGTGACGCTGACCGCCTTGGCGCCGGACAAGAGCACCATGAAGCTGCCCCTCAACTCGACCATCAACACGGAGCGCCTGCTGGACATCAGCGGGCTGCAGTCGCCGGCACGGCACATCCAGCTGCTCAATTTGACGCGCGAATTTTTGGAGCAGACGCCGCAACGCTGCGCCGGAGGTCGCTCGATGCCGCAGCATTCGCTGGTCTGCCTGACGCCGCAGTCGGCGACAACGACGCCGCACGGCGTCGGACGCTATCAGCAGACGCCGGTGCCGGTGCATCTGCTGTCGCCGCTGTTGAAGGCGGCGCGCAGCGATCTGGTGCTGCCGACGCGCACGCCCGAGGGTGAACTGTTGCCGCCACATCTGGTGGATGCCACGCTGGGCAGTGCGGTGCAGCTGCGTACGCCGCGTACGCGCTACAGCTTTGGCCTGGAGCTGCAGGAGACTACTCTGGACTCCTCCATGGAGCTGGTCGACAATTCGTTTTCGGCATCGCAGCAGCAGCTGCAGCAGTTGCAGCAGCAGCTGCTCAAGAAGCAGCACAGCTTCGATTTGGATGAGAGCTTGGGCATCCTGACGCCGGATCAAATGAAGGAGTTCCTGGACTCATCCTCGCAGCACAACAACAACAACAGCAACAATCCCAATCTCAGTCATCAGCTGGAGCTGCAGCTGGTCGCCGCCGCGGCACAACAGCAACAGCAGCAACGGCAGCAGCAGCAGCAACAGCAACAACACTTGCAACTGCAACAGCAGCTGCGCCTGGAGCAGACACCTTCGCCGGAGGAGCTGCCTCTCGATCCCATAGAGCCGCAGCTGTCGGCTGCTTTGGCGGCACCTGCGCCCGCTGTTGCCGCCGCCGTCGTGGTGGCCGCTCCGGCCGCTGCTCCCAAGCTGAGCAACAGTTTTATAACCAGCGTGACCAGTGTGACCAGCCTGGATACGGGCTATCAGGGCGACGGCGAAATGTCGCGTCCGGCATCGCGCGGCGCCTGCGATCATTCGCCCAGCAATGGACCGCACTTGGGCCGCGTCAGCCGCCAGCCCAGCTTTCCGCCCATGCCGGCAGCGCCGGCGGCTCCGATGCGTCGTCAGGATCCGATGACCGATTCGGATTTCTTTACCGAATCCGATGCGGACGATGTGCTGCAGCGCGGCGATCGCCGCGCCCAGGTCATCGATGGCCAGCTATATGGTCCGGCTATGCAGCCGAGCGCCTCGGTGCCGCAGCTCGAGGATTCGTGCATGGAATCATCGGGCATTTTTACGGATGTCGAAAATCGCTGCGATGAGGAAATGCGGCTGCCCGAACTGGAGCTGGACATGGAAATGGAGATGGACATGTCGCCCGACGAGTCCACGCAGACGCTGCGCAAAGCTCAAGGTCAAGCGCAGAGAGCCGAGCAGCAGCAGTCGCAGTCGCAGCCGCGTCCGCTCTCTTCTTCGTCGGCCGCGACGACGCTCTCCAATCGCACCTCGTACTGCAGCGTCGACGGCGGCAGCGCCAAAAGCTTTTGCGACGAAGCTTTCAACGCGAGCAGCGACCAACAGCAGCAGCAGCCGCAGCGATCGTCAGTACAGTGCGCAGCGTCGCCGCGTCCACACGCATCGTTAACGTCGCTCTGCACGGTTGAGAATTTTAACAGCGCGTCGCCATCTTCCAGCTCGTCGCTCGCATCGCCCAAATCGTCGTGTAAAATTACAACAACTGCTACAGCAGAAAATAAAAAATCGTCGCGCAGTGTTAAAACGCCAAATAAATGGGATGCAGTTATGCATAAAATCGCCAGCAATAAGTCAACCATCAAAACTAATTACAATGATGTGAAATCCAAAGTGTCCACCACGCGCAACATGGCCGGATCCGGATCCGGATCGGGATCGGGCGCTGGCACTGGCGCCTCGGCTCCGCGCAGCCCCTCGACCAGCAGCGGCAGTCCGCGCATAAGTCCCACGGTGAGGCGTTCGCCTTCGGGCACGCCGCTGGTCAAGCGCAGCGGCAGCGTTAGGCCTACGAATGCCACGCCCACAACGTCGACGTCAACGCGGCAGCCACAGGATAAAGGCTCTGTTGGCGTCGGCGCCGGCGTCGGCGTCAATGTGTTTGCTCGTCTCTCCAAATCGCAGTCACCCACATCGCCCACTGCGGCCGCAACAGCAGCAGCCGCAGCAGCAGCAAAGCGTTTGCAGCCGGTATTGGTTAAACGGTAAGTCTCAAGTGAATACTTCACCTCCATGTTCAGATTATTAGCATTTGGTTCTGTCTTCTTAGTTTTAACTCTTCTTGAAATCGTTGTAGAGTATATTTTGCAGTTAACATATCTTTTTGGCTCTAGCTAGCTCCAAGCATAAGTTTAAATTCCACCTCCATGTTCAGTTTATTGGCATTCGTCTCTGTCTTTTAAGTTTAATTCTTCCTTTCTTAGTGGTTACTCCTCTTGAAATCGTTCTTGGTTATATTTTGCAGTTAATATATTTTTCATTGGAACCATCTAGTTCCAAACTCAAGTGAATTTTCCACCTCCATGTTCAGATTATTAGCATTTGTCTCTGTCCTTGAAGAGCTCCTAAGAGTTTTTTCTTACTGATTTTGTTATGGATATATTTTCCAGTCAATATAAGTATTTTGTGGGATAAACTAGCTCCTAACTTAAATAAATACTCCACCTCCATGGTCACATTATTAGCTAACGCTGCTGTTCCTCAAGTTATTTTTAGTTTCGTTCTCTTATTGAATTTGTTTTTGGATATATCTTGAATTTTAGTAGCTCTCCAACTCGTCAATCTCCTTATACCTGATTATATATCAGTTTTAATTATTTTTTTCGTGATCTTTTGAGGCTCTTTTTTTCAATTCTTTTTATAACAAACTTGTTTTAAACTGTGTATAGAACTATATGCTATATGCTTTGTTTTATTTATTGCTTAAATGTTACCTAGAAATATGAAGAAATATGAAATTTGCACTCCAAAGCTTTTCTTCAATTTCCACTTGGCGTTCATTTCCATATCAAACGAATTTTAATAGGTAATTCCGGAGTCCTTTTTTTCCCATCCTCACCGAGCATCTTTTTCGCATATTTATTGTTGCCAAGTATCTTATCTGCTTGTCAAGTGGATGCCTAGTTTATCGACGCGTATACCACATACCTTTGCCGGCGTCTTCTCTTATCAGCTGTGCCTGCTGATTGATTTCTTGTGTTCCACATTCTGTTTATAAGGCTATCGAATTCACAGTTTATAGCCATCGCTCACCTGCGAGTGATAAAGTCGCACCCCTCATATATGTATATATGCGACTAGAATGTACATTAATAAAATTGAGTTCAGGGTCAGTTACGAGTTTTTGAATAAACTGGCGCAACAGGCTGCTCATTTGTTGATCCCAACTGGAAACTTGACCTAGAGGTTGTAGAGTTTTAACAAAATCTAATTAATCTTAAATAAATTGATTAAAGGGCAGCGAATTTCATTTCAAATGTAAAGCGTATATAGTTCAAATGTTATGAGTGCTATTTGTTTGATATTAAGTAAATCATTTTTAATGTTGAATCTTGAACTCTTATAATTCACAAATGGTTTAAGCGTTGAGCTTTCAAGCAAGCTATCGCTTCAAAACAAAAATTCTATTCAAAAGTTCTCTTCAGAAAGTGAACCAGTTTCAGCTTTTTCTATGCTTATAAAGCTTTTTCTCTGGCAGAGATCTTAATTTCTACAAGTCTATAAACAATTGGAAATTATAATCTCTTAAGTCGAGAGTTACTAGAAATTTTAATGCATTTCTAAGCTAATAAGAAAATGAACAATTGGAGTTTAAATTCTGTTTTTGGTTACAAATAAAAAAAAAAACCAATTCTTAAATACTTTAATACTACTTAAATTGAATCAATCGTAAATTTAATGATCTGCTTCTCTATAGAAAAACCTCTAAAGACTAACTTGGAAAAGGTTTCTAATAGTCCCACGGTGTCATCTACAGCTAGGCAACAGTTACTAATTACTTATTTGTCTTCTCGCCGTGACTTCATGCATATTGTGGCCTGTGAATGTCAAACATAAACAAATTAGCCACACTGGACTAACAGAATAGACTTCAATATGACCGAGAAACAACGAACCCTAACCCCAAGATCCACAACATGGTTAAACAAAGTGTTGGTCACAAAAGTCAAATTCAACTATGTGCGAGAGGGAGAGAGAGAGAATGAGAGAGAGCGAGAAGCGAGATGCGGGAAGCGAGAAGCCAAAGCAAAGCGACGCCAAGTTGAACAATTTATTGGACCCGTGTCGTGTATAATAAGCATCATTTGTCGGTCTAGGGGGCGCCTAATATTTAAGCATAAATTAGGGCGGGGTTCAAGGAGAGTTGTGGAGTGCTTGACTAGGGGCTGACCCAGGGAGGGAGGGGGGTAGCGGGGATTGCGGGGTCTAGGGGCTTATGCGTGTGCGCTGTGCTTAATTTCACAGTAATTTTTTTCGTTTTTTGGCATTAAAAACGAGACGCACATGAGTTGAGCTCAACATTTGTTTTGTCATGTGAACCAGGCAAATTCCCCCAATGCCCGCCCCCTCAACCTCGTTCGTTCCGGCCGAAGGGGCGTATGTGCATTATACAAATTAATACAAAAGGCAGCAGATTGGCAAAGCGAGAGAGAGAGAGAGAGAGAGAGAGAGAGAGAGAGAGAGAGAGAGAGGGAGAGGGAGAGAATGAGACAGAGATGTAGCAAAAATTCATTCCACTGAACTTTGACTTTCTTGCTGTTTTTTGTTTTTTTTTTAATTTGTGTTTAGTTTAACACAAAATTGTGTAGAATTAAAGCAGAGCAAATGCTCAATTAGTTTAATTGCGCGGCTCGTCGTTTGTGTCCATTTTATTTGTTATTTAATTTTGATTATTTTTACATTTTTCCAACTCTGTGCAAAACGTTTGGAATTAACAATAGAATTGCAACATCAAAAACGTGGTTAATAAAAATATATATGTACATTTATTTATTTATTATATACAGGTACATTTACAGGTAACAGGTAACACAATGATAAATTCAATGCGCAACCACAATAACAACGCAAACCGCAAATTAGTCGCAAATCTTGCATATACCTGATGCCCCTCTCTCCCTTTATTTATCTCGTACTCCCCTCTAGCTGTCTTCTTATTTATTCTGTCTGAACGATAACGAGTTGGTTTTTATTTGTATTCGTTTTTTCTTCGTTTTTATAAACTTGCCATCAAAATTCATTAGATAAAAGCGTTTTGATTAATATTATCGCATTTGATGCATGCACTTGGTTTTCGCTCAAGTCTAGTATGCTGCTATTTGGCAAGCAAAAGCTGAAAAATTGTTTTACCTCAATTATGTGTGAAATCTTAAATTATAGCTGTCCAAAATTTGACAGACACTTTAACATGCTGTCAGGCTTGCTCTTGTTTGTCTCACGTTTTTGTCACCTCTGTCAAAATGTCAAAATTATGCTAGCCGATAAATATGCAGCGTTGCCAGATTGCTGAGATGTGCAAATTTGAGAGCACCTAAAACAGTTTTATAAACATAAATCTACTTTATATATAAAACTAAAATCTTATCGAAGCGATTAGCCAAGTTTGGGTGAAGGTCTTGCCACTTTGTTGCACGGCGTTGCCAGATTTCGAGGCAAATGTAGCAAATGTAGAAATCATAAGATAATTTAATTGTCTTGATAAATTCTTAACCTAAGTAAACTTAATTGGCATGTTATTGTAATATGTAATTGAATGTTTAATAAATCGTACATAGGCCAAGAGAAGAGTGTAAAATTCGTAAAGAAACACGCATGGAAATTCCCAACAATTTAATAGTATTTTAAAATAAAGTGGCTGTCAACAGACGTAAACTTTACTGTCTCGGTTTTATAGTTCGTTCAGCAGAGTGTGAGAATTTCATATGCAAATTTATTCTTCACAATATTAAACCTGCTGTCAACTAACTTCGACATTATGGCTACGGCGTTGCCACATATGCTAAGACTTTAATATATTTTGCGGGCAAACTAAAATCTATTTTATATTCTTGTTGTAACATTTTCATACATATACATAGACACACGCAGCGCATGGGTTAAAGGTTTCATAGAAACTGAAGCATGAGTACAATATCGAGCAAGTACTCAATTACAAAATGAGTACTATGCTAAAACAATGTTGCCAGATTATAGGAATGCATTATAGCTTAACAGTTACTATTTCAACAAAATGTTCGTGTTTTTTGTTGACTTTTTGACTTAAATGCAATTAAATAGTAGCTTGAGTATAAGTTTTATTTTATTGATATAAATTATAAATATATATTTTTTATTTCTTTATTATTATACATATGTTTTATTGTTATTATTTATTATTGTAAATTATCACATATATTATTTATTTTATTAAATTATTATACATATTATTTATTATTATAAATTATAATATATATTATTTATATAATTAATTATTATATATATTATTTACTAAAACAAAATATATATTATCTATTATTACAAATTTTATTATATATTATATATTTTATTATACATATTATTTATTGTTACAAAGCTTATAAGCTAACAAAATAATGCGCGTCACGCGAGCTGCGTACCCAGCTTAAGATGCAATAGTTCAATGCTGCTTATTATTATTGTGTTGTTTTTTTGCTTACATTGAAAACCACAAGAACAACAAACGCAAAGCAGCCGCCAATTACAACAACGGCACACACGTAATTACAATGTGTGTGTGCGAGTGTGTGTACGAGTGTCTGTGTCACATTTGACAGCGTAGTGCGAGAAGATATCTTTCAGGCAAAACAATCACAACAACACTAAAAATAACAACAATAACAACAACAACAGCTGCTACTTCAACTGTGAATGGGTGTGAATGTATCTTGAAGTGTGCGCCGCGCCGCTTTTGCCTTTTCGAGTGTGTGAAAAACGCCCAAGTTCACAAAAAAAAAAACACACACACTCAACTGTGCTGTGTGTATCTGTATCTTTTACTATGTATCTGCGTATCTGTTGGATACCGCACTTGGTATCTGCGAATTTGTTTCAAGTCGCAAAAGTTCAGCGCGCGCGACTGTGAAACATGCTGAAGATATTATCTCAGCTCAAATGAAGCCTTAAAATTTGCCATAAATATTTCATATTGCTTTGGCATTTCACATATCATCAAATATTGTATTTATTA